CCAGATCAGGTGAAAGGTTCCAGATCAGGTGAAAGGTTCCAGATCAGGTGAAAGGTTCCAGATCAGGTGAAAGGTTCCAGATCAGGTGAAAGGTTCCAGATCAGGTGAAAGGTTCCAGATCAGGTGAAAGGTTCCAGATCAGGTGAAAGGTTCCAGATCAGGTGAAAGGTTCCAGATCAGGTGAAAGGTTCTAGTTCAGGTGAAAGGTTCTAGATCAGGTGAAATGCCTTAATTAAAAATTAGATTAATTTAAAAACTTTTTGCAGCTTAAACTGATCATGAAACACAAAAATAAAAGTCAAACTTTGTTATATTTGTGTTTTTGTTTTGCATTTAGCATCTTTAAGATCTATTAATTCCTTTTTTACAGTGTTTTTTCCTGTGTCTGTTAGTAAAATATCTCATGAAACACTGCAGGTTTTAATTAATCTTCAGGAAATAATCATTGATCGTTTATAACAGATAAATGTTTGGAGTTGGTCCAGTTCAAAATGGCTGCCTCAGCTAACCGACCTGGAAAGGCCCACAGATTGGCATTATTAGTCAGTTTTACAGATATTAAGCTGAAGTTTAGAGTGGTAGTACTCTGAACAAAACAAATAAAACTATGACCTCTGTCCAAACTTTGAGATAAAAGAGTGACATAATAAATGTTAAATCTGATTTCATGAACGTAGTTTTTTATATTTATGATCATTTAATTTCGGTGCATTTAGTGATGTTTTCAGAGGATCATGTTTAGTAAATGAGATACTAATTATTTTAATATTTTAAATAAAACTACTGGTCTGGTTCCGGTCCAGAAGTCTTGTGATTCCTTCAGGTGAAAATTTGTCAAGTGTCCATGTTGGTTTTTAGAGAGGAGACCTTTGACCTTTGACCTTTAGCCTGCTAACCGAGGCCTGCAGAGTCTGACATGGAGCTCATTTCTCTGAGCATTGCACGGTCTGACCTTCGGGGTTGAGTTTGCTGGGAACATTTCTTCAGATATGAACAAAAGTCAGGAGTGGTCCAGACCTGAGGTTTATTTTACCTGCAGTCAGTCAGCTGTTATCAGACTGACTTTCTTCACTAATAACTTTATATTTAGTTAGTTTGAAGATATTTAGAGATGAAAATAAATCACACTCTGTAATTATGTATATAATAGGTTATTCTGTTTGAACTGGAATTAGATTTTTAAATGTAGTAATGTTGAAAAATGATATAAATTGGTTAAATTAAATTAAATTGGCTCTTTATGCTGTCGTATAGCACTACAATATTACTATGAAGATCTCAAACTACATAGAAAGCAACTTAAATTGTGCATTAATTGAAGTTTGGAGACATTTTTAAATGCTTTTTTTCAGAAACACATCTGACACTTGCGACAGGAGGGGGGGTGTCGAGCGGCTGCTCTTCTTCTGAATAAATGAAAACTGTAACACAGTTGTTTACACTTAAATTAAAAATATTTGAACAAAGGAAACCGTGAGCAGAACTAGAGATGAATGTGATTTAGATTTTTATTTCTGTGTCTGTATATTAGGGTTGGGCAATATTGGCAAAAAAAATTATTTTCATGATTAACTATGGTATTTAGCCGATAACGATTAATTTGATGATTAGAGTCCCTGGACACCCTCATGTCCTGGTCACATGACCTATCTAGTGGGAAAGATTTGCTCTTCGTAAAAATCTGTTCCAAATTGTGTCAAAATTACAGACTTCAGGCTATATCAGTCTTTAATTGTGTTGATAGATAAATTGCAAAACTTTTTTTCTACATTAGTCATGTCTGAAGTGGAGAGGAGCACCGAGCGGACTCTGCCTGCTGGCTTTAATCGTATTAATCGTCAAGTGCCAAAATAAAAAATCAATTAATGTTTTTCTAACGATTAACTGCACACAATACGATAATGCCCAGCCCTAGCCTGTAACGACCCACAGGAGACATTAACAACAGTCATTTCATTCCTCGGCTTTAGCAGCTCCTTTAATTCCACAGCTGACGCTGCTAAAAATGACAGATTTTCTTTTCTGGATCTCTGAGAGCAGAACTTCAATCTCTGAACTCGTAAAGTTATTTTTTTGCGATGTCATTTGTGATTGGACACTTCCTGGTATGTGGGACAGGAAGCACAGCCTTATATGGTGTTTTTGGGGTGGTAATATGTAAACCTCCTCTCCTTGTGTGTGAGCACCTGATACACATTCATCAGTTTACGCAGCTCATTTACACACTTCTCCTGAAGATGGAAGAGTTTGTTGAATCTGACGTGACATGTTCGTACGAACCCTTCGTACGAACAAAAGTTAGATAAATTCAGGAGAAGAATATGAACGTGTTTTTGCATGAGGCCCAGTGTCAGCCATCTTTAATGTTTCTCTCTGTTGATCGATGGATTTGGACTCTTTGGAAATGACCTTTGACCTTTTCCAAATCAACAGGCTTAAGTGTTTTTGCTTTTTTCTTTTCAACCGTCCACATTTCATCTGATCAACCTGGGGTTGCATTGCCTCTTGCGTCCACTTCCTGGGATGTTGGCTACAGTGCCACGAGCTTTGACCTGAACCAAGCGATCCACTGGTTATTTGACTTTAAACTGAACAAATGTCTGATTAAAGATGACTCCTGATGCTAATTAAGGTCAAACCTACCAAGATGGCGCCACAGATTTGAGATGGTTACCACAGATGTGGGTTCAGTGACGTGGACGTTCTCAGAGACATTTTGAGTCAATTATCTGTAGACGACGATGCCGTCGGTCCCGTGTTTTTAATTATTTTTACATCTTTCCACCGGTTTTTCTCTGCCTCCTTCAACAGGACTCATTCTCCTCAAACCCCACCCTGCTGAGTTCTCCTCAGCGCTGATGGAAACCTGTCTTTATGTCATCGATCGTAAATCCGACTCTTGAATATGTGAGCGTGCAGCTCAGAGAGCCTGCAACCAGGATCAGGACCCTTATTAGGAAGTGTTCTGGTTCTGGAGGGAGGAAGAAAACACTGAGTGCAGTTTGTTCAGACTGAACTCTGCTCTGTTGGAGTATCAACATTTAGTCAGAGAGTCACAGTGTTACAACAGCTTCACCCTCCTCTGCAGGTCGTTTTCACCAGAAAAACCTTTGCACCATCTTTAAACGGCTCAGTTCTGGTCCCAAAACTCTGACTCAGGGTTTGTACAGCTAGAGCTTCTTGCATGTTTGATAGCTCATTAAGAGAATATTATAAAGTTTTAAACATTTGCAGTAAGTTTTTTGTGTTTTTATCTCATTAATATCTGGAAACGTGGAATTAATAAAAGTGTTGGACCCCTGTTCTGTGACGATCTGGTACTTCTTGTTCCATGTTTCAGATGGTGGGTAAGATGGGCGGAGAAACCCTGTCGCACCTGAACAGCTCCTCAGGAAGTACTGAGGCCGCGCTTTATTACCCCGGCCAGAAACGATCAGGAGAGGACGCAGGTGAGGACCCTCAAGAAAGTCCCTGAGTTTTACCTGAGTTTTACCTGAGTTTTATTTGAGTTTTACCTGAGTTTTACCTGAGTTTTACTTGAGTTTTACCTGAGTTTTACCTGAGTTTTACCCGAGTTTTACCCGAGTTTTACCTGAGTTTTACCCGAGTTTTATTTGAGTTTTACCCGAGTTTTACCTGAGTTTTACCTGAGTTTTACCTGAGTTTTACCTGAGTTTTATTTGAGTTTTACCCGAGTTTTACTTGAGTTTTACTTGAGTTTTACCTGAGTTTTACCCGAGTTTTACCTGAGTTTTACCTGAGTTTTACCTGAGTTTTATTTGAGTTTTACCCGAGTTTTACTTGAGTTTTACTTGAGTTTTACCTGAGTTTTACCCGAGTTTTACCTGAGTTTTACCTGAGTTTTACCTGAGTTTTATTTGAGTTTTACTTGAGTTTTACCCGAGTTTTACTTGAGTTTTACTTGAGTTTTGAGTTTTACCTGAGTTTTACCTGAGTTTTACCTGAGTTTTATTTGAGTTTTACCCGAGTTTTATTTGAGTTTTACCTGAGTTTTATTTGAGTTTTACCTGAGTTTTATTTGAGTTTTACCTGA